GTAGTAGTAGTAGTACGTAGTAGTACGTAGGTAGGTTAGGTAGGTTAGTAGTACGTAGTAGTAGTAGTAGTAGTAGTAGAGTAGAGAGAGAGAGAGAGAGAGAGAGAGAGAGAGAGAGAGGGACAAAGAGGGTGGGGGAGAGGGAAAAGGAGGGAAGGTCTCCTCCTGCAAAACCCAAGGTTTGAAAGTCCAGATTGGTTTGAAAAAAAAGGGCCCCCCAGTGCTTAAATACCTGAAATTAAGGCAGTTTTCCCTTTCAAATCAATTTGAAGGATAACAATGTTAACAACCAACCTGAATAAATAAATAACTATAAAAACAAGAATGTTACACACACTCAAAAGCAAGAACTTATCACATAGAGAGAGAGAAGAGTAAGAGGGAGAAAGGAGTGGCTGGTAAAAGGAACAAAGAAAGTTAATTTTAAATGAGTGCGCAAGGGGAGGACCAATTGAAATAGGCACGTGAGTCAATGACGCAGGGCGGCCGGGTCACGCCATGATCCGCTTGCGTACTTGGTCGTCAGTTTGTGACACAAGCCCTAGTAGCCTGCCATGCTGGCACGCCGCCTCCCTGCCACGTACACAATCTGTGAGGGCACTGCTCGCCTACTACCTGGCTTCGGCTCGGCTCGCACTTTGAAAAGTAAACGATGTAATATGATGAGAAGTTTAAATGCGCTTCTTAATTTAAATTTTTTAAAAATAAATTATCTAAACGAATTAAAATGTACGACCTACAATTAAATTATAAAATATTTTATTTGCAATTTTTAAAGATTATGTTTATTTTTTTTTTGAGATTGTATATTGGGAGACTATTTAACCTTAATAAGAGGTCGCAATCATTCTTAAATCTTAGATGTCGAATTGGAAAACTTCTACTGTAAAGTTCGAGTTTTTTTTTAAAAAAAAAAAAGTTTGAGTCAAAACAATAGAACATTTATAACCAACCCATATAAAATCTAAAAGATAAAAATGAGTATGGCCTCTTTGTAGTAAAAGTAAATGATCCCTTCACATACTTTCTCGTTTTTTCACATACATGATGGTACCCGTCAAGATCATCAACTAATATTTAGAAACTCACCTCGGGCACTAACTCGAGGCGAGTTATTGTACACGCCTGAGTACTGCACACAAGTAAAAGCTATAGCAAAGCTTTTAAAAACAAAACATAAAAATTGAGTAATAATTAAATAAAGCCAAAGGCAACTTTGAAAGTCCAATAAGCTTAAAAATTTATGAAAAATGGATTTAAAAACAACTGATTTATAATTGGAGAAGGTTTAAAAAAGAATCTACATATATATAAAATGAGTACTATGGCAAAAAAAAAGGTGCAGTTTGTATGGAGCCTAGGCTCTAAACAATCAAATTAGAACCTACCTTCAAATAGTATCAAGAAATGTGGTTTCAATAATGAAAATCTTTGTGATAGCCTTAAAATACATTTTTATTTTTATTTATAAAGTTTAAAGCTTCAAAAATAATGTAAATCGAGAGATCTATGAAAAGTTGAAAATCTTGAAAATTGAATGTATAAAAATGTTACAAAATACACTATTTTCAAAACTTGAAATCCATTTTTTTCTAATGCCCATGCATCTTGATGCCGAGATGATCAATTTGAGGATATTTGGACATCAAAACATCTTCTAGTGAAATTTTTGAAGTAGGCTCTAATTTGATTGTTTAGAGCCTCAGTTCTATATAACCTTTTCCAAAAAATATACCAATCCCCCCAAAACATCCAAATTATATATAAAAATAGTATATCACAATCCCATTTTTCACTATTTTACAGTTTTTTTAATTCTTTTTATACACCCCGAGTTGTGCTTATAACTCGGGCCACGCCACCTCACTCTCGGTAAGGGGCCTTCTCCACTAACTTACCGAAAAAGAAAAAGAAAAAAATCCACATCATTCTGAATGACTCGGTTAAGTCCCATAACATTGCTCTTAACCTTTGAAATCTAAGTCTAAATCCATCTCTGATATGGATTTTTGTTTATAGAAAATTGTATCACCCAAACCCAATTCAAAATTATGAAGTAAACCAGATCCGAAACCTTAAGGCTAAGAAAAAGTATAATATGACAAATACGACTGCTGAGTTATTTATGGAAAATAAGGGTTTAAAGAAGTAATAATTAGAGAAAATGAAATAGGTGGATATAAAAAAAAGGAAAAAGTTTATAAAAGGTTGCAACCCTAAAATATAGAATTATATATCCTCCTTAAAAATCCAGCGGAAAATTTTGTTTTAATGTTGAAAAACCCTCTAATTGATCATCTCGACATCGAGATGTATAAATATGAAAAAGAAAAAAAAAAAAAGATTTTGAGTCCCAAAAATAGTACATCTTAAAACACATTATCTAGATAGTCCATTTTCAACATTTCATAAATTTATAGATCTACTTGATTTTAACCATTTTTTTAGTTTAAAATTTATAATTAGATATGAAAATAGATTTTAAGATAATCCTAATGCTTTTTTACACCAACATTACATATTATGCTAAAATTTGGAGGTGCGGCTTAATTGGATTGTTTAAGGTTGAAACCTTGTAAAAACCACATCCATACAAAAAACCCCAAATTTTAATGGAGAGACTAAAGTTACTTAATATATTTAATAAAAGTATAATTATTTACTTTGGTAGTAGGAGGTCACAATCACTCTTGTCTGTCATATTTCAAAACTAGTGGCTATAAGAGTGTCATTGACTTGATTCAAAGTCCCAAAAAAAAAAAATACACCTCAAGCCATCCAACTTGACATCTAATTAATAAGAATAGGTTTGAGCTCCTCGTAACAACAAAAATAAATGGTCTCAGTATACATCCCCGTATATTTATAAATTCCCAAGGTGTGTTTGTCTTGATAAGATCCAGACAAGAAAACCCCGTCTTTGAAAGCATCAACTACCATGCACGTAGGATAAATTTTTTGTTTTTTATTGTTTTTAGTCTCCTCCCTTTTTCGTTTTGCCTTCTTTCGCGTATTACTTTCAAGATTTTGGTAGGCAACCATTTGATCAGCATTAGAAAGTCCAATCCGAAGATGCTCGAATATTTGCCGATAATGATAATCTTGTCATTTTATCATTGCTTAATTCCTTGGTTAATTGAATTAACTAAGTAATAGATTTAACCTGATTCATAGTAACATCAAATCTGACTACGTGATGTCTTTCATTCATCAGCTGCAGATTTGTGCATTAGGTGACCTTGACTAAATCCTTGGGTAGTGTATCACTGATAAATTAAATCTAAATGGGCTTATGTTAAGCATACCCTGACAGAGGAAAAATTAAAAATTAGCAAACAGAAGAAGATGAGGGTGAGGAGATGTGCAAATATTTATGTTGTTATTTTATTCCAAATTTCATTAGTTACTCTATAAAAATTGGTTCCAGTGTAATGCTTTTATTTCCATATCTTTTTATTAATACCTCAAACTTAGTTATAAGCCTACACGGGAAAAGTGATTACTAGGAATTCAATTTAAAGAAGAAAAACTCACTCTTGTTTCATACCTATTAACAAAATTTAGTGCATTAGAGAACTATGCTTGATTCACCCATAAAATAATTTTGTTTCAATAAAGCGCAATTAAATTTTAGGATTTTATAATAGAGCAATGATCCAATGCAACGGTTGTATCATAGTATAACGCAACGACACTTCTAGAAAACCATGTTTGTGGTATTTGCATGACCCCAAATTTTGCACGTACACTCTCTTCATCTCAATAATCAAACTCCCAAAAAAAAAAAAGTTCAATTTGAACCCGATATGGTCAAAATGAGTCCCATCTAAAAACTAATCTAGACCATTCATTTTGTAAATTTCAAGTTCTTAGCCTTTATGAACTCAAAATCATTTTTTTCTTTTTTAACATTGTTCATCTAATGATAATAAAGCCATCTAAAAAAATTGGAAATGAAAAAATCCTTCTGAGGCCTAAATCTAAGCATCTCACCAAAATAAATAGTCTATGTTAATTGGGCTAAAGAAATACTTTCTAGGTTGTGTTTTCAATTTTTTCTTTTTTGTAAATGTTCAATAGAATAAAAAGAGTGTATATTTCAAATTTTGGATCAAACAAATGGCCATAAGATAGTTTAAGGTTGTTGCATCATACTACTATACAATGGTTCATTTCTTATTGGTGCAAGGAGGTTACAATCACCTTCAGTCATTGGATGTAAAATCTAATAGATTTGAGTATGCCACAATGTTTGATAAATTTTACTTCGTATTTTGTGCTCAATCAATGACACATCCTTAATGACCCATTTGCACATCTAACGTGATTAATGATTGTGACATTTTTGTATCAAAAGTAAAGAGTCTTATTGTATTCATTTCCTTATTTGTTTTGTTGGGCCACTTCTACGCATGGGATATATGTTTAATTTACTCAATATTTTTTGACACTACTTTTATTTTATAATGTAGTAACTATTTGTCTAAGGGTATTTTAAGTAATTAGTCAATGGTGAAGTATAAATTTTTAATAGAAATTTTTTTTTTTATTAATTATAATGGACAATAACATTTACGGCATGATGTGTGACATCATCCACGTAGAGCATTAATTGTTTTTTAACCATTATAGAAATATTTATTTTACCTCTCATAATGACTAAAAATGCTTTTATTTAAAAAATATTGTAGTACAAATCAAGAATATCTAGGTGTCCAAAAATATCGAACACTTTAGAGGGCTAGCGTATCAAAACCCAAGTTAGTGATCTAGGTCAAAGCATGTGATTCCTCCAAAAATAAAATCTCTATGGTGGAACAGTATGGTCAGTCGTGAAATCCCAATCACTACATGGTCTCCGAAGTT